TTGATGATATTAATATGTGGTCCTTTTCTAAATTTACCTCTATGCTGCCATCTGAGGCTCTGACAAAGGGGAAAATGCCGCATTAGTCATCAAAATTTTGTAATTTTGCTCCACTGCAATCAACTATGAATGCACCGCAGTACCAAGATTCAAAAGGAATCGAATATGGATGTTAGCTGTGACTGTCAATATCGTCCAAAACAAATTTTGTAAAAACTTTTTGGCCACGTTTGCCTAAGCGAAACAAAGGAGGACCCTCTTCTTGCGGGGATCTACCAAAACTTGCTAGTGTTTTCCGACATTTAATGGGCCCCCCGACGAACAGGGCATATGAAGAGTCTCTTAAAACTTTGCTCCGGTGTAAAGTCAGCTAAACAGATTTTAGAACTTTCGAGTATGTCATCATAGTCTTGAAGCTCAAATTCACAATGTGATGCAAAAATTTCTACAGATGCAACTAGCTCAACTCAGCTGACTCAATATTAGGATGATGGGATGAGTAAGTAATGAAAATTTCCTAACCAAAGCTTCAAACATTTTAAAGAAGAAAGTCAAACATCCCTGATCATTTGACATGTCCTCTTCTTGAATATTACTACGACTGCAGCTCTATTCCAAGGTGTATTAGTTGTGGAGCAAATTGGAGATAACCCAGTTTCGAAAATAGCATTTCTTTATGAAATTTATCAGACTAAGTAAAGGGTATCGGTTACGACAAATTCTATGCAGAAAGCACTACACTACAAAAAATAAATCTAGCGGACGGTCAACTCTTCCCAATGGAAGGAATGTCGTCTTGCTGGAGCAACTTCTGCTGCTGAATTATAGGTTTTTTTGCGCACCACGCACCACATTACCTTTAATTCGCTAAAGTTAAGTTCGGCCTTTGTCTAGTAACCATTTGAGATCGCATTACATATGAGATCATGATCCTATACACTCACCTTACTACCTTATGTCCGAGCTTGCTCCTTGCTCTAGGTTTTGTGCATGTCTCTAGCACTCATTGATCATTAGCTTACCAGAAATCCCAAGAATGACTCCTCCATTTATCGCAACTTGAGAGTCCTTAGAATAAAAAAAAATTCCAAGATATGCAGTAGACCTCAATCTGTCGTTGTCGAATTGTCTTCACTATTTAATCTCGAGCAGGGATGTACAGCTCTTTTAACTAGTGCAAATAGCGAACTACTGATTTATTCGATAAGCTGTATTTTGATGAGTTTTGCGAACTACCAGTCTAAGTGATTTTAGCATCTAAAGCCAATGGGTAAAGCGTACTTGCTTCTTTGGAAGTTGACGCTTAAATCCCTAAGCTTTCATATCAATCGAAATTCATTTCAAAAGACAACAGTACGAAGCTATACTCACACGTTTGCCCGTCTCCTTTCCTCTTTATTCGCAGGTTTTCAAAAGCAACGCATTCCTAGGCCATGTAAATTTTCGTTCGACGTGCGAATGCTCAGGGACCAAAATTGAAAGAATAAATTTAGTAATAAAACTAAAAAGTCCAATGAAATCACTTCAGATCACACCAAGAAATGATTTGCTACTGCATGATAAGACTTTTATGGATTCAAACTGCGTCAGGGCTAAAGTCCTTTTACTAAGTTGAAAGCAATTTATTTGCTTTTGATTCTCTTTGATCTTTAGCTATGAAAAAGGTTCAACTCCTGAGACTTAAACCACGCTAGTGGAGTTCCGTAACTGTTTTCTGGGGATAGAGAAGCTTCGTGTGACGGATAACAATGAAGGAAAATAGCCATAAGATGATATAGCGTCTTGCCTGCTGTAGCAAGTGTCATCTTTTACTAATGATCCGTACTTGATCGACATATGTAAACACAATTTAATTCGTTTACACATCCAGAGTTCCCGTCGCATCAATATATCATAGTCTGTTGATATGAAAACTGCTATGCATTCAGAACACATTGTATCCAGTTTTCGAACTCATTGTGAAAACTTTACGAATAACCTTCCCTACCGCTAGCATGCTGCACTCAAGTATAGCAAGGCTCAAGAAAGAAAAGTGTTTGCCTTGAGAACGGAATGAAAATCCAATTAATTTACTTCCAAATGATATCCCGCACTGAAACATAATCGCAAGCGAAATAAATATGACTTAATCCGAAAAATTAATCACAATACCGAATACACCGCTATACACCGCTCATATTCAATGATCTTCCGAACTACTGCCAGCGTCGCCAAACCTGAATGACGATGGAGTCATTTAAAATGTGAAATGTTAGCGATTTTTCCTCCCACCTCCTTAACCTCCGTTGCCTGATCTCTTCGTCTGCTGGTGACCGCATTACTGCCTCCTTTGAGGATGTTGGTGTATCAGGAGAAATGGTAGCTTCTCCTGATGTAGTGGAATCTGTCGCAGTAGTCAGCAGCGTCGGTGACCGTGATGTATGTGATGCTCCAAACAAAGACTTCGAAGTTGATGGAGTGTCTAGCGATGAGGTCTAAGAAAGCAACAATGTTTACAACATAGATGTTGCAAGTTTGTTTCTTACAGTTCGATTTCCATATTTAAGGACAAAACACCTGATAGTGCACACTTCTCAACTGAGACTCAATAGGGAAAGAACGAACATAATGATAATAAAGTAAAACTGGGCCAGACGTTCGATAGAATCCCTTCAAAAAGTGATTTAGGAAAAAACAACAGCACATACGTCTTTGGCTGCCTCGCCGTTTTGTTTTGTAGTAGAGACTTGTTGTGGGACTTCTGCCTGTGATCCATTAACGTTCTGAGTAGAACTGCTTTGTGTAGCATCCAGTTCACTGTTACCGCCTTGATGCTGATTTGTTTGGTTCATTCCTTGACCCAAAAATACAAGCCATGGATTATCGCTAGCAGGCAGTGTATCAGGCATTGGCACAGGTAAAGGAGCAGCGCTGAAAAGACTGAA